ATATAGAAGGATAAGGTGAGAAATTGAGGAGACACTTCAAAAAATCGCTAAGGAATTCGTCAGCGGATGATTAGTGAACTCCGCTTGAGTCTTGTGCAAATAAGTATAAGTCTTGTGCAAATAAGTATAAGACACGGATTCAAACTGCACCTTTAAATAGGGTAAGAATATATAATATCATTTATAGTCCGCTCATATGATTCACATTGCACAGCAACTGAGGAGCATGAAGAATTTAGTAATGCTGCAGTAAAATCACGAATTTTGTGGAAGAACACTTGTTCAACAGTGCATTTCCTAGAACCCTGAGCAAAATTTCGGAGCTAGTAGATTGTATGAGAAGGTCAACATCTTCCAAACAAAATGGATGATGAAGAAAAGTGAGAGCACCTGTTTTCTATGTGGATTTTGCTGCATCAACCTGACAAATAGGTTATCATACTGCAAGGTGGATAATCTATACAATCTCACTGCGTGAGCATAAAAAGGACATATCCAGTTTGAATCCGAGATGTGAACAATCATGGATCTGAAAGTGATAGCATTACCACTTCATGGCACTTCATTCAGCTGCATGGACCTTCGTAACTCGCATGTTCACTGCCTCATATCACATGTATTGGCTCCACGGGAACAGAATGGAAAAGTAATAGGATTCAGGGTGGTCAAAAGGGGGCAAATCAAAATTATGTACTATCAGTACTTGCAGAGAGATGGGAGCAAAATAGGAGGATGGAATTCATGCTCCTGCAATTGCCGAATTATTTATATTTCCGCCTTCCCGTTGCTCTTCATTTCGATTTTCATTTCGCTGGCGGCATTTTAGGTGATCAAATTTGTGGTGAATCAGTAGAAGTGGGTTGCTAGTTGGTGTAAAAAAGGAGACGTAGACTATATTGGCAACTGTGGCTTAATCAGTTTGCTTTTTGTTATCCAAAACTCTTTACATTAGACTTCAAGTGTATAGACTTATCAATGGATCAAGAACAACCATGCTAGCAAGCAGGGAAGCGGAGGGAAAAAGTCTCGCGAAAGTGACACTCTCCCGTCTCGTTATCGTTGAGTGAAGAAGGCTCTCAGAAAAAACAATTAATTCATGCTCTAGACTATAAGGGTACCCGTATGCGACGGTACATTGCATGGTCTACTACACTTTCACCACGATAACTTTCCAATTCGATTTTTAATGGGATGAAGGGGAACCATCATCAATGATACAGCATTTGATTCGTGCATCCCTCATTGTAACGATGTTTTGCATCGTATTCGCAAAGTCGTTCCGAATCATTCGAAATATAAAGTAAATTAATAAATTCACTAAGATGAAGTTCACTGGAATGTTGGAAATTATAGAACACTTATCGTCTCGCGATCTACTACTACGATCAACTACTCCTGGGGTGGCCTCGGTGTGCGGCGGCTCTCTCCATTTGCTCTGGTGGAATCTGTGAGTGCCCTCGTGGCTGGGACTAGTTCGTGTTTCTTCAAGTCAAATCCACCTCTGGAGGTCTATTTTCATTTTTTTTATTCTGGACGCTGCCAGCGCTTTTGTTTTGTATTGTGGTTTCGTATTTTACTTGACGAGACTTCGTGTGGCCGGGGTCATTATTCTTGTACGAGCCACCACTCGATCTCCTCTCTGAGAGCCAATATGGCCAATGAGTGTTGTGAGAATACGCCACCTAGAAAGACATCTGGTTCGATATCTTCTGACTTTGTGTCACCGGTTCTAAATTCTCCCGTAGAATATGAGAGGAGAAAATCGGTGATCATTGCTGGTGTGGCAGAAAGACCAGATTCTAATCTAATGATAAGGTTGCAGCATGATACGCATTGTATTAGTATGATTTTAGAGTTTCTAGGTATCGAATGCTCACCTCTTTCTATTTACAGACTCGGTAATACCAATAAAAGATCACCTCGCTTATTGAAAGTAGTTTTACCTGCGAGGAAATTTCAAGTTCCTTTTACTATTCGATAATTAGGATTTGCTCATGTTTTGTGAAACGTGGCTCAATACATCTCACACGCTTTGTTCTCTCATTTCGGTTGATAATTACTGTTCTGTGCGCTGTGATAGGTGCAAACGTCAGGGTGGTGGGTGTGCTTCTATTAATACGAAACAATTTTAATTATATCGAGATCTTTTCTGACTCGGTTCGCGAGGCATATGAAATTTTAGCCGTTGATATCTATTTTGAAGGTACTAAGATAAGGTTCATTGTGGTTTATAGAGCTCCTACGTGTTCCTTGTTGCTTAGTGAGCAACTATGCAATATCATTGGTGATCTTTCTATATGTGAGCACCCATCAGTGGTTGTGGGAGATTTCAACCTCCCGGATATTGATTGGTCATATGTAGGAGACGGAGATACTGGTTCTTCTTTTATGGATAATCTTTTAGTTCATAATTTCAAGCAATTTGTATTGGAGCCAACTATAGGAGAAAGAATTTTGGATTTAGTTTTAGCCAATGATGAAGCCTTGGTGAACAATAACAAGATTGAGCCGCCTGTGGGTAGTATCGATCACAATAGTATTTCATTTTTTGTGATAAGTGAATACTGTGAACCACAGTCTACAGTTTTTAGAGATTTCTCTAATTGTGACTTTGTGGGGCTGAATGC